AAAGAAAATTCTACCTATAATTAAAATTAATTAAATAGTAAAAAATTAATTTCAACCATTATTCATATATGCGCGTCTCAAAAATAAAATTGTCGATAAAATGAAGAAGAAAAAAGAAAAGAAGTAGACATAAGGAGGAATTAGTAAAAAGTAAATGTTTCGGAGAATATCTGGTTAAATAATTGTAGCAATTGAAAAAGAGCAAAGGCATTTCAAGGGCTGCATTGCCAGCTTGTACGAGTCGACAATAGTACAAACTGCGTTCTTCGAAATTCTGGTTCCAGTCCTGCCATACACGTATGTAAGTGTACCCGATGGTCTGTACCTTTAACGCTCTTTTTGTATATTCCACCTTCCTCCGTTCACTGACTCTCGCAGTTCACGAGCTTGGTCTTGTTTCAGAGGAAGCAACTCTATATTTTTCTCTTTTCTCTCTTTCAATGTAATTTTTACCTCCTCTCTTTCTCTCTCTCTCTATATATATTTTCCCTCTTATTTTCACCAACTTTTCACAGACTCATACGATGCAATACATAAATTATGATGCATCGGCTTTATGAAAAAAAAAAACTCAGTTTTGACCTCGCCAGTAAACTCTGAAATTTTAAATTCATTTCAACTTTTGTAATTAAAAAGCATTTTGTTAAATTCTATTTAAAAAGTTGCTGTTCTTTCATTAAAAAAATAATTTCGTATATATGAAAGACATTTTACATTTAAAGTATATATATTTTTCTTGTTTGATAATAAATTATTATTTTTAATTTATAAAACAATTTACTGGTTATAAATTATTATTATTAAATTTTTTATTTTATAACTAGCAAAATTAAACGGGCGCAAGCGCGCCAAATTGAGTTTTTAATTGTTTGTTATAAAGAAATTAAAGATTAATATTATCAACAATAATTTAATTTATTAGAATATTATTACATATTAAATGATAATAATGAAAATTATATGTTTACAGGCCTCGGATTATACGACTTTTTCCGACTTTTTTCAAAAATACGACATTTATCGACTTATTTTAACAAAATGCGACATTTTTTTTACATTTGAAAAAAAATGTAAATAGAATACATTTTTTTAGTATAAAATGTAGATCTTCTTCAGATCTTCTTCAATTCAATTATTTAACAAATTTTGAACTAAAATGATTCTTCACTAAATAATTCATTATTTTTAATAATTTTAATGAAATACATCACAAATTCAATTATATCAAAATTATTTTTCAATTAAAATTTTTATGAAATTTAACAATTGTTTATAATTTAAAAAAAATATATCACAATAAAATTGAATTATTTTTTAAAAATTTCAATTCAAAATAAACTAAAATTCAATTATTACCCGAAATTTTAATTTAAAATTAATTAAAAATCCAATAATTATTTTCTAAAATTTCTATTCAAAATTAATTATCCAAATTTTCAATCAAAAATGAACTTAAATTAAATTATTATCCAAAATTTCAATTAAAATTCAATTATTTCCCAAAATTTTCAATTCAAAATCAACTAAAATTCAATTATTTTCTAAAATTTCAATTAAAATTCAATTATTTTAAAAATTTTCAATTCAAAATAAACTAAAATTCAATTATTTTCCAAAATTTCAATTGGAAATCAACTAAAATTCAATTATTTTCAAAAAATTTCAATTGAAATTCAATTATTTTCCAAAATTTGCAATTTAAAATCAACTAAAATTCAATTATTTTCAAAATTTTCAATCCAAAATCAAGTAAAATTCAATTACTTTCCAAAGTTTCAATTTAATATTAATTACGAAATTCAATTATTTTCCAAAATTTCAATTTAAAATCAACTAAAATTCAATAGTTTCCCAAAATTACAATTGAAATTCAATTATTTTCAAAATTTTAAATCAAATAAAATTTCATTATTCTTAAAATTTTGAATTCAAAATTAATTGAATTTTCAATAATTTGAATTTAAAAGCATCTAAAATTCAATTATTTTCTAAAATTTCTATTCAAAATTAATTATCCAAATTTCCAATCAAAACTGAACTTAAATTAAATTATTATCCAAAATTTCAATTAAAATTCAATTATTTCCCAAAATTTTCAATTCAAAATCAACTAAAATTCAATTATTTTCTAGAATTTCAATTAAAATTCAATTATTTTAAAAATTTTCAATTCAAAATAAACTAAAATTCAATTATTTTCCAAAATTTCAATTGGAAATCAACTAAAATTCAATTATTTTCAAAATTTTCAATCCAAAATCAAGTAAAATTCAATTACTTTCCAAAGTTTCAATTTAATATTAATTATGAAATTCAATTATTTTCCAAAATTTCAATTTAAAATCAACTAAAATTCAATAGTTTCCCAAAATTACAATTGAAATTCAATTATTTTCAAAATTTAAAATCAAATAAAATTTCATTATTCTCAAAAATTTGAATTCAAAATTAATTGAATTTTCAATAATTTGAATTTAAAAGCATCTAAAATTTAATTATTTCTAAAATTTTCCATCGACATTTTTTTTTTTTGAAATTTAATAATTTCAATTATAACTCTAACGAAATTTAATTATTTTTAACTATTTTAATAATATTCTTTGAAAATTCACCTATCTGAAACCATTTTTCAATTAAAAATGATTTTCAAATTATTGTATTTTGTCCGCATTTTCTAATAAATTTTTAGTGAAATCATCTAAAATTTTAATTACATAACACTTAAAGTTTCAATTAATTTCAAAAATCTCAATTTTAAATCTTTGAAAATTCAATTAAATTTAAAAAATGTTTTCCAAAAATTGTTTGATAAATTATTTTTAGTTCTGTAAAATTTAATAATTGTTTGAAAATTGACAATATCTTTTGAAATTTAATTATTTCTAAAAATTTCAACTTTAACCCTTCGAAAAGGATTATTATTAAAAAAAAATTTTTATTTAAAAATTTGTAAATTATTTTTGTTAAAATAAAAAACAAATCCACTTTTTTTGGAATATAAATCGACTAAAACGACTTTTTGTGTCTTTAAATTGATTCGAGGCCTGTGTTTTTAAAATAATTAATATTTAATAGGTATTCGTTGGTCCCTGGTACCTTAAAAATTAATTTTTAAAAATTAAATTTTTTCAAATTACTATCTTGTACGAAATTTCCTGGCGCATCTTTTTTCTCATCATAAATTTTTTGTATTTGTATACAATTTTTGAATGAATATACAACTTTAAAAAAAATTTCGTTGGTAAACGTTGTGTACTTCAGCTTCGTGAATTGAATTTTTGAATTTGGAATTTTAAAGAAACTTATTCCGAAATTTGGAAACACAATTTTATTTATTTTATTATTATATAATTTTGTTTATTTTTAATTGTTAAATTTTTTTCTTAACCAATGATATTATTTTTGTTAGAAAAAAAGAATTAAGTTTTTTATATATAGATTTAAAATTAGAAATATATAGTTTCGACAGCGTCAACGATTCATATATATATATATATATTAATATAGAAATACTATGTCAATGAAAATTATTTTATATGATTAATTAAAATATATAATTACATAAAACAGAGAATTCAGATTAAATGAAGATTCAATGAAATTCACGAATTTACATCACTAGCGGAGAATTGATTGATGTAATTATATATTAACAAGAGATATTGTTTCCTGGTATTTTAATGAATATCATACTAAAATTTAAAAAATTAAAAGTGACGAGAATAATAATATTAAGGTTTTTATCATACTGGCAAATAATGTTATTAAAAAAAAGTTTCCGTTTTAGCATCGAAAGTTTCCAACATTTTACCTATTTGTTATAAATTGAACTTACATTAAATTATAATTATTAATTTTTATTAATTAAAAAAAAAATTATAAATGACCATAATTTTATATTCAATATATATATTAAATGAAAAATAATTTAAAAAAACGAAAGTAAAAATAACATTAATTATATTTTGGTGCAATTGAAAATTTTTTTTCTGAAAAAATTTTGATAACGACTCCTTTCAAACATTTAGTGTTGTCTATAATAAAATTTTCATTTTTAAATAAAAAAAACAAATTTTCGTTTCATATCTTCAATTTAATATTGGTTTAACTTCTCACACTAAAATTTTAAAGACTTTGAATCTGAAATAACTTTTAGCTCTCTTGCCTTTTAAACGAGTTTCGAACATTCAAGATAATCATAAGATCTTATTAGGATGGTTCAGTTGACTTAAGAAATGTTGAATATATGTTTCAACTCGAAAGAAAATTTGCAATATAATTTCGTAATTTTAATAAACTTATAACAGTTTCTAATTTTACAAAGATTTAACTTTAAATGATTTCTTTTATATATTTATTTACATTTTAACTTGATTTGCAAAAAATTATATATTTATAACGGGTTTTTTTTTGCAAAATAAATTCAAATCGTTTTAAATGTATATATGTATATATCTAAAATAAGTTGCAGGAATATAAAATTAAATATAAGCAATAAAATATAAGTATAGTCGGCAATAAAATATATAAATGTATTATAATAATAAAGTATTCAATTTTAATAATAAAGTATTTAATTATAATAGAAAGTATTAAAATTATTAAAAAAATTTTGAAATTAAAAATTAACAAACATTTTTTATTTATTTGAATCAAATAAAAATATAAATATTTTAGAATATTTTATACTTAAATTCATTATATAATATATTCTTAATATATACTGTTTACAGCAAAAAAGAAATTTATCAGCTGATAAATTTCTTTTTTGCTGTAAAAATATATGTATTGTTATCAAAATAATTTTTAAAATACATAAATTTAGTGATAAAAAAGAAAATTTGTCGCAACAAAGAAAAATATTTTATAGACAAATATTTTTTGTCGCAAGAATAAAGTTTCTTGAAGATATAAAATAATATTCTCTCTCGCCAAGTAAAAAAAAAAAGTTTATATGTTTCATAAATAGAAAAAAAAATTGTCTCTTGAGAGTATGGAAAATGGGTTGGATTGAAAAACTGTGGTATGATAATTCTTTAAGAGTTGATATTCAAACGCAATCTTTCTCTTCGTATGGGCTGGCAATTAGGTTGGTTGTCAATATGAAAGTAACATTTTTGGCCTTGGAGATACCAGATACGCTTCAAAGGTATGCAGATATAGTCAAGTCTAAACCTTGTACAGAATTGCGTGAGATTTTAGATTCAAGAGACAGCAAAGTCTATTCAATAGCAAACTGAAAATTACATACACACACATATATATATATATATAAACATCGCGGGCACGACATCAAGCTCAATATATACATATATATATATATAGGAATGTGATTAGTTTATATAACAAACTATTAGAAAAACATAAATGGCAAAATTATTACCAACAAAACAAGTATACAGTATGCGTGTTCATTTGGAATTTGCATATATTAAACAATGAACGGTGAATCTGTAAACAATTTTTTTTCCCGCACTCTTTTTAGAATTCCAGAAAATTGTGTGACGAAAAATAAAATATATATATTTTAAACTATATATGATTTAAATATATTTGGGTCATCAGAATTTTGGGAATTTTACACAAAAAAATTTTTACAGTGATATTTATATGGGTTGGAAATAAAAACGATGACATTTGGATGAAGATTATATGATAAATTATTTTCTTCAATGTTTCGAAATCGATATTTCTTCTTCAGGGGTAAATTATGTAAATCCATGTCCATTTTTTCCAATTTCCACTCGTACTTTTCCTAATTGCCATCCACATTCCTATTCACAATTTTTTTAATTTCTATTCCAATCTCCACTTCCACTTTTTGTACTTTTTCCTATTTCCATTCCCACTTCCACTTTTCCTAATTTTAATTCCCACTTTCCAATTTCCACATCCGTTTCCACTTCCACCTTCATTTCCATTTTTCCAATTTCCATTCCTATTTCTTTTTTCCATTTTAACTTTTTCCAATTTCAATTTCCACATCCATTTTTCCAATTTCCATTCTCACTTCCACTTTTTCCCAAATTTCCATTTCCACTTTCTCTAATTTCTATTCTCACACTTATATTTCCGCTTTTTCTGATTTCTACTACATATATATACTTTTATTTCCACTTCCACTTTTCCAATTTTGAAATGGAAATGGAAATTTGAAAAAGTGAAAATGAAAGTGGGAGTGAAAATTAGAATAAAGTGGAAGTGGATATTGAAAATCGAAAAAGTGGAAGTAGAAATGAAAGTGGGAGAGAAAATTGAAAAAAAGTAATCGGTTAAAAGGTAGTGGGAATGGAAATTGGAAAAGTGGAAGTGGAAATGATACTAAGGAGTAGAAATTAGAAAAGGACGGAAATGGAAGTGAGAGTAGAAATTGGAAAATGTTCAAATGAAAATAGGAATTGAAATTGGAAAAGTGAAAAGGGATGTGGAAATCGGGAAAAGCGGAAATTCAAATTAGGAAAATTGGAAGTGGATATTAAAAAAGGAAAATGTGGAAGTAGAAATGAATCTGAGAGAGGAAATTGGAAAAAAGTGGTGGGTTAAAAAGATGTTTGTTATGGAAATTGGAAAAGTGGAAGTGAAAGTAGAAGTCGGAAAAAGTGGAAGTTAAAATGAAAACTGGAAGTGAATATTAAAATAGGAAAATGTGGAAGTAGAAATGAAAGTGAGAGAGGAAATTGGCAAAAATGGTGGGTTAAAAGAAAGTGAAAATGAAAATTGGAAAAGTGGAAATTATAGTAGAAGTAGAAATTAGAAAAGCGGAAATGGAAATTGGAATAAAGTGGGAGTGGGAGTAAAAAAAAGTGAAAATGGAAGTAGGAGTAGAAATTGGAAAAAGTTCAAATAAAAAAAGAAATAGGAATGGAAATAAGATAAGTGGAAATGAAAATGGAAGTGGAAATGGATGTGGGAATCAGTAAAAGTAGGAATTAAAGTTAGGAAAAGTGGAAATGGAAATTGATTTACATAATTGACTCCCATAGGGACTCTAATAATATAAAATTAAAATTTAAAATCGAAATATATAAATAATAATATAAATATATTTATATTAATTTATAAAATATATTTATGTAATCATAAACAATATAAAAACGAAATTTTTCCTTTGAATAAAAATAAAAATAATTACAAAGATATTAAAAAGAATAAAAACACGAAAGATATAAGACAGAAATTAAAATAGATTAAAAGTTTGATAATTTTATTATTCGCCATAAGAAAATTGGTTGCATATATATTTTGCAGAATGGAAGTTAGGCCGAGGTATATGTATAGCTAGAAGGCATGAGCGAGTGCACAAAATATAAAAAGAAAGGTATATATGTAATTTCACATACGAAAGAGCAGGAGAAGGCAAGGACCCGCGTGTGTTATATATGTACAATGCGTGCTGCGGTGGAATAAAGCAACTCTGGTGGAGGGGGGGAAAAAAGACTCCAAAAAAGTGGTATAAAGAATCACTTGGATGGTATAAAGAGAGTTGGAATTTAGGGTAGGTCGGTTATAACCTTGTCCTTCTCTTTTTTCTTTTTTCCTTCCTCCAGCACACAATAACTCTCACTCACTCTTACTCTCATACTAAAGCAGAGCGCAGAGTGTATATATATATTTATATATATCATTTCCGCGCCCACTCAACCCTCTCTTTGGTGAACGTGTCCTAATTCAGTCGCCCCTGATCTTACCTTCATGAAACGCGTGCCCACTATAAGGACAAGCCTATCACGACCAATTGCTAATTAATCGTCTATGGCAATTGTCACGGTCGTAGAACACGATGTCTATTGGTAACGACCGATCTAAGCAGGTATGCCGTATTTGCCATGTCGAAAATCATTGGCACGAGTAATTCGATGTAAATGGCGGAGATAATGATCGTGAGAGCGAGAGTGACAGGATTTCTGTGTGTATATATACGTATCGGCCGCTTTGACTTTAGGTATATATCTGAACAGCTTTAAAGTTAATTGAACTTTAAGTGACATTTGCGATTTCTGCCATAAGTGAAAGAGATTTTTGCATATTCATGGAAGAAATTCTCATAATTTCTAATTATAACATTATTCTTAGAAGAAATAATAATCGAAAATTGTAATACGCAAAAAAAAAAGAATTAAAACAGTAAATCTTAAAGGTCAGTGATCCCTTATCCCTTCCACTATTTATTCCCTCGATAGTTGCCATTAATCAGTAGCCTTAATTGAAGGACAAGCCTGGCTTCTAATGAAATAGAATAAGGTGAAAAATAGTGATTCCAATATACTATCCAATTTCTCTTCAATTGCCGTATCTCGCAAAAGAAACGCAATTTTCACTTTTGAAAAAGAAAATCAATATTTTTTCAAATTATAAATATATAAATGTTGGAAAAGAGTAAAAGCCAAATAGTATAATGAAATATATTTTATGGCCGTGAAGTTTGCAAAATGGAGAAGAGTTGTTGTAAAAAGAGAGAAGAGACGAAATACCGGGCGATGCGATCAGTCCCCACTTTTTCGACTCGCACACAATGAAAACATGTACATAAAACCTCTTCTCTCCCCCCCCACCCCTCACCTATGATGCGCCAACTCAATTTCTCCTCTTTTGGTATACCCAACTTGAATTGCAACTGGAGTCCATCCCCACTTAGGGCCCCGAAGTGTTCCCCCACTCTGACTCCTAGGGTCCTACGGCCATTGATCCCGACCTTCACGCGCCGAACGAGCGCGATTGCCAACGAAAGCCAACTTTGCCGAACCCGAACCGAACCTGCCGCAACTTGGTTTCGACGTTGCACAGCGCTACTTCTTCTTCTTCTTCTTTCCTCGCGTCCCACTACCCCCCATTTTTGCCCACGGACCCAACCTACCCCACTACGCGCAACTTTGGCCGCTGTGTGCCACTGCCCTGCGCGCCTTGCTCGTCCAATCCCCTCTCCCCTTCTACTTCCCTCGAAACCCCCTTGTCCAACCAACAAAGTCTACCCAAGAGAGAGAGAAAGAGAGAGAGATTCTTTCTTTCTATCAACATCTCTAACTCTCTTCCTTCCATCATTTGCTACTTGATTCGCGAGTCTCTCTATCCAATAAGAGAGAAAAAGAACTTTTGAAGGGAAAAGGGAGAGGCACACTACTCATGTCAGTTTCGCTTAAAAATAACCTTCCAAGAAAAGTCGAAGAGAACGCACGAAAGGAATTTTATAGTTTTGTTTTTTTTCTTCCTATCTGTGTTATCAGAATATTCTTTTTTAAACAATTTTTAAATGTGAAACAAAATGAATAAGATTCTAAAATATTTCGAGCTTAGAAAATCGGATATATTTAATAGAATTTTTCTTTACATATAGCTGTTAATATTTAAAAGAATATGCTAATTAAGTCGAAATTCTATTAAGCAGAATTTTCATTCTAATTAATAGAATTTTAGGTGAGAGTGGAATTTTTAAATACCGCAGAATTTGTATTTTACCGAATTCTCATTCGTCCGAATTTCTATTTCCACGTATTTATTATTTAACAGAGTTTTAAAAACGCTTATTTTCTAATTGGCCGAAATTGTAAACGGTGCAACAAACAACAGACTGAAAATTTCGGTGCGAATTTTATGACAATATCAAAATTTGCATGATAATGTCAGAATTCGGTCAATTTTTCAAATTAGTGCCGAAATTTTCTATATGTTTGTTCGGCTAATTGCAATTTTGGTCAGATCCAAAATCGGCGTTTTTAAAATTCTGTCATCTAACAATATTTGTGCAAATAGAAATATTAAACGATATAAAAATTCAGACAATCAGAAATTTGAACTAATCAAACTTCGGATAAATAAAAATTTGAATAATGAAAATTCAGACAAATAGAAATTTGAATTAATAAAAATTCGGACAAATAGAAATTCGAACGAATAAAAATTTGAACTAATAAAAATTTAAAGCAATTAAAATTTGAACCGATGAAAAATCGGAGAATTAGAAATTTGAACGAATAAAAATTGGGACAAATTTAGTGATTTGAACTGATAAAAATTCGGACAAACATAAATTCTAACGACTAGAAATTACAAGCAATTAAAATTCGGAAAATTTGAAATTTAAACTAATAAAAATTCGGACAAATAGAAATTTGAATTAATCAAAATTCGGACAAATAAAAATTTTAACTAATC